CATAACGCTTGTTACAGCTCAAAGTGCTTCCTACATATAAAAAAAAAATGAGAAATTTTCATAAAGCACTATCTTTTGGTAGTAATTAGCTATCTATAGATACCATTTGCTATATTCGGATTATAAATACCTTTTGTGTGGTTATAAGATGTATTTGATGTATTTAAGCTATTGTATTCATGAATACAGTAGCAAAAATAGGTGTGAATCTGGGAAGTCCAGCTAATCAGTTGTTGTATTCTAGTGTATTCGACTGTATTCATGGACTGAAACATGGGATTACAGCTGGACAGATTATTGTATTCAACTGTAATTGACTGTATTCACGGCGTGAAATAGGGGATTACACTATTTTTAAAACGGAAAGTGAATCAATTAACATAATAGACTCCTAATATAACTCAACAAACTCAATTATAACACACAAATTTTGTATTTTCAGTTATAAAGAAGATTCTCAACCAAAAAATACCCCAAAAATATAGCAATCTTCAGAGAAATTATATAATACATCTGAATACATAAATTATATTAATTAAAAAAAACATATGAATACATTCATGACATATAGCGAGACAGTGAATATAATGAAATACATATAATACAACGGCATACATTGAAATACAATAACAAAATAAAAAGACAGTGAATACAATGAAATACATGGAATACAACGAGATACATTGAATTACAATGAAAAAAAAGACAATGAATACAATGAAATACATGAAAATACATTGTGATCCATTGAAAATAGATTGAAATATATTAATAGAAAACCAAGTTGCTCAGCCCCAAACTCTGTCGTCTTTGTTCAAGAACAAGCCCTAATTTCCGGCGAATCCGTCGAGCAACGAAATAATCCACCTAGTATCCGGTCTACTATATCGTCTTCCACTTCGATTGAGGCCTTGTCTTTTGATTGCTAATTTTTATGAAGAAAAAGATACTTGGGCTAGACAAGCCTGGAACCGACTCCCTTCTGAATCGTGAATAATATCTTCTAGTTGATGTGGATGTTTACTTGCAATCACCGTAGCTGCATAAAAGGCGGACCTTGGTGGTGGAAGTGGGAAGAGGTGACAGGTCCAAGAGGGAATCCGTGGTGGTAGATGGCAGAGGTGGGTCAATTTAGGTGTTAATGGTGGCGGGGGATCTGGTATGTTGGGGAACAAAGCATGAGAGGAAGTATGGGATTTTATTTACACTGAGAAATTTCAATGGGATGGGGAGAAGAGAATGGGATGTATCAAAGTAGAGAGAGAAAGAAAATAGTGTAACTGATTAGCGTATTTAGTGGCTTAGGGCTAGGAGATAACCAAAATTAAATATTTTGCTATAAACCTTAAAAGGTATCTATATAATATAATTTTTTTAAATGATATTTATTTAAAATAAATAAGGTGTTAAACTTTGCTATTGGAGGTAAAAGTTCCAAAAAAAAAATTAATTTGCGTGGCCCGAATCCGAGACCTCGGCAAAGAGATACTATTCATCCCACCACAAGATCCATGACCCTTGGAGGTGACTAGGGCTAGACTGTTATTAAGTACGTTTACCTTTGTGAGTGGTTCTATGAATTAAATCTAGTAATTATGTTAGCAGCTTAGAAAATTAATTTGGTCAATTAATGTCATGGTTGTATGTCTCATAGTTTTTCCCTTAATGTAGTTATTCAAAGTTAATTGAGTCTTTTCTAATGGAGATTCTGCTAAAAATTTGACTTTCTTTTAATAGAAATCTTGGAGAAATCACTCACCAATCGAAGAAGAAAGAAATTTTGCAGAGAAGTGGGTGGGGTCTTTTAATAAAGAGCTGACATGTGGCTTTCCGTAAAAAATTAGGGTAAATTCATTTTATAGTATAACAGTCGGGTTCGAAATGACCAAAAAGTATAACGAAGGTTAAGTTTAAATAATTTTTGATAATCAAGGAATATATTTGACCCTTTTCCGTTTGAAAAATTATGTTACACAAGAAATATAGAAGGGATTTTAACTTGAGAGTACTCTTAATTATTATACATATATTTGAGTATTTTGACCTCAAAATAATCAGCAACTCTCTTGTTGTTGTTTTTTTTTTTTTTTTTTTAGGGGGGGGGGGGGGGGGATAGTAATCTAATTTCAAAGTAACATGGAATATATTTGTGCCTCCTTTTCTTTTCCTTTTTGTGGAGAGAAAAGCTCAAAATGAAAATATTTGCAAAATGCTTCTATAAAGAGGTCGGCCGCAGCAATTTCTAATAAAATTTAGAAAGCTAGAGAAAGAAAGAAATAAATTAGCAAAAATATTTTTATTCATTTTCATGAATAGTTGAGATTGAAATGAAATGTAGTTACTTAGAAAGTAACATATGATTTTCTAAAATAACATACAATGTATATGATTTGATAGGGAGTTTTGGAGCAACAGTAAAATTGTCACGGTATGACCTATAAGTGACGAATTCGAGTCATGGGATCCGCCATTAATGTTTGAATCAAGGTAGGTTGCCTACATCATACCCCTTGGGTGCAGTCCTCTTCGGACACCGCGTGAATGTTAGATACTTTGTGTACCGAACTGCTGCCTTATCACATAATGTGTAAGACATGATGGAGTTTACATTTTGTGATATTATCTATTGAGATAAATAAAAAATTATAAGGAGAAAATGTTATGGAAAGCACATTTGATACCAAATTTGAAAGAGTTCGAGCCTTGTGCAAGCCAAAACCTAATTACTTTTTAAGCTGGAATATTATTATACATTAAAAAGTTGGCTTATTTACCAAGACGTTGGGGGGGGGGGGGGGGTTAAGGGGGATAGGGGGGAGAATGGTCTGGATTATTGGATGGCGGTTTGAAATTCCTAATTTCCTATGAACCTTTTTTGGAAATTTATATACTTGATATTTGGATTTTCTTCTTTAGATTTTATGAAGGCTTTTAAACAAATGTTAAAGGATTTAGTCAATCTCCTTGTTATTATTGTTTCTTTTTCATAATTTTCATTACTTTATTTCTTTCTCTTTATTGTTGTGATTATGCTTATCTTGAGCCGATGGTCTATCGGAAATAACTTTTCTATCGCAAAAGATATGGGTAGGGTCTGCATATACACTATCTTTCCCAAACTCCACTTATATAATACACTGGATATATTATTGTTGTTAGAAAATTAAACAGATGACCTTTTTCTATTTATCCATGAATCTTTGGTTTTTCTCGTTTAAAAACTTATGTTTTGTTTGGAAATCTTGATAATGAAATAGGAATGACATTTGAAATGATATTTTGCGCAAACTGAGTCAAATGGCTCTTTCTTATAGGAAAAAATGGCTTTTACTTCCATAAATATAGGGTTTTATTATGATTTTAAATTAATTACTTCAACATTAATCATTTGGTTCGAAGGCAAGTTATGTAGGGATTAATAATGTAGGAATTAATAATAAAAAAGTTAGTTATGCGCAATTAATAATGAAAGAGTCATTATACGGTAATTAATAATGAAGGAAATATCGTCAGTATTTTTGCTCCACCTTATACCTAGCATAAAAAATACATCAATCTCCACATAACTTGTGCGAAAATTATTTATAAGATGATGCAAAGTTGCAGTCAAATGAAATATACGTTATGTGTTACTCCCTCCATCACATATTAACAGTCGTGGTTACTAAAAATAGTTGTCTCAATTTATTTGTCATTTTATAAGTTCAAGACAAAATTGATATTTTTTTCCTTTTTTACCCTTAGTAATAATTGTTTTTGAAGATGGAGATAATACATAAATAGAATAAATATTAATGAAGAGAAATTATATCTTAAGACATAAAAAAGAATAGAATAGTCCAGCCCTTTTTCTAATTAATATTTCTTAAGAGGCGTGTAAAAGAGAAACGCGATTCATAATATGAGGCGGAGGGAGTAAATATAATGAGGAGATTATTTCTCCTCATTCGAGGCACCTATTTGAACCTCATTATTTCAAGTTTACATAGTTTTGCATTTTCCTCTCATTCTAATAATGTGAGTAAAAAGAATAATATCCAATGTCTACAAAGGGCAAACTGTCTAAGAAATGAACTTGGATTTTAATTTGCTATACCACAGAATAGTCTAACATCTATTCTTTTATGGCTTCTCTCATTAGATCATAATAGAGAAAAACAACCCAAATACAATTCATTAAAAATGCCTTTGCTTCATTTAATTAGGTCTTGTAATAAGACTTCTAAAGAAATGAGTCGAGCTCAAGGACAGATCATGTAACAATCCAGCCCACTGATGATATTGTTCGTTTCGAGCCCAAATTCACATGGCTTTAAAACGCGTCATTGAAATCTAAGACTTTAAATTATATACTCAATATCTCTTCTATGTTTTGTCGATGTAAAATTCACTTGAGTTATCATAAACCATCTCACATGTTTCCCAATGATAGAGGAGCTTCACCGTAGTGACATCAACTAGGAACAAAATTAGATGTAAGTTTTTATCTGAATAGAAAGTTCTATTCAAAGAATGAATTAATCTGAAGAGTAGCAATGTCACACCAAAAATGGACACCATAAACATTGAGCCAAATTAAGGAAACCTGACATGATGGTATATTGGTATCTTCAAAACAATGCACTCTCTGACACCAAGTATGAAATTTAAGAAGAAAAAAAAAAAGGAAAGCATTTGAAATTTAAAAAAAAAAAAAAAAAAATCCGGCGCACTAAGCTACCGGTATACGCAGAATCCGAGGAAGAGCCGGACCGCAAGAATGTCCTTACCCTGCATTTCTGCACGGCTCCAACCCACCATGGCATCAACTTTACAAGTTGCGCCAAGACTCCCTTCAATCATTTGAAATTACAGTTGAAATTTTTTAAAGATATAATTGTGTTGAACACAAATTTCCTTTAGAAAACACCTGATTTGAGTGAAACCTTTATCTCAGTTGAAATATTCCTCTAACAAAAATTTTAACATTTAAATATTTATGGCCAAACAGGTAGAACACAGGTAAAACATTTTCAAGCCAGAATGTTATTCATTAATGAGTCATGACTCATGATCCACAATGTCCACACACTGGTACATTCTTTCTCAAGACCTCACAAAACAAAACTGATGGCAAAACACTGGTGAAGAACAAGATAAAGAAGAAAGAAGACACATCACTTGCTCAAGCCTTCTAATAGTAGGCTAAAAATACGCTTAGCAGCCAAAGCTAATATGGACCAAGCTGGGGCCTGGGGATGCAACCGTTACCATCTCAGTGACACTCCTGTGGAACTCGAGTTGTGTTTCTCGATTGGTTAAAGTCAAAATACGTAGTCCAGATTCATTATAATATCCTGAAAGGCTGGTTTGCAGAGCTAGATCGCCCAAGACTTGCTTTCTTTACCTTTGCCTTTTTGCTTGCAATTTCTTGGAAAGGGTTTGGTCCACCAAATTCAATTTTGGAGTTCCTAACCTTCTTCCTCTTCCCTCTATCATATTCCTCATCCCTGATAATATATAGGTGGGTGTCAAAAGTAGTACGAATAATATTATCTACATCAATAACAAGGAAAAATAAGGGGGACGTTTGGGGGGAGAGGGCTGAGCTGCATTTTAGGGCTACATTCTATGATCTTTAAACACAAGCATGTATGTCCATATTACAGGTAGGAAATCTCACCATTCATCCCCAATGTACCCAATGCTGACACAATTTCCGTTCTGTGCTTCAACACCATTCAAGGAAGGAACTTCTACGTCATCCCAACGAGCAACTGCGACAATCAAATAAGATAAGCAGCTATACTTGAACTGATAACAGCAAAGCTCAAAGACTATTTAAAGCTTCAATAGAAGGAATAAAATCACAAAGCAGCATGAACTTGCAGATAAGTACTCACCACTTGACTCTAAACCCCTGGTAAGCATGTTCACCAGACCTTTCTGTGTTGTAACTCCTTTGGTCTCTTTAGCATCTGTGGACTGTTTATTGTTACTACCTTGGTTTCCTACTGATGCCGAGCTGGAACTTTTTTGTGGTTGCTTGTCATTTGCTAATACAGTGCCATTGTTCAAAACCCTCACATCATCAACTGTACTCCTCAGCAGATCACCATTGTGTCCAGCAGTTTTCGTATCTAAACTATAAGGTTTCTCATTGGAACCAACTTTTGACTTCTTTCTCTTTCTTTCAGAATGCATTGGAGAAGAGACCAAAGTATGGGATAGCTCGGATGTAGATGGCCCAAGATCAGAGGAGACATTATTCTCATTCAAGGAACTGGCATCGCAGCGCTTTTTCTTTCCAATTTTATGTTTCATTCGTTTGTGTTTCTTCTTCCTGTGCAGTCCTAAGGCTGGATCTAAGATCATAAAGCTGAGATGCATCTTGGTAACACGACTCTTGAAAGACTTCTTTTTGGCTTTCAAGCAGGCCTTGTCAATAGCTTCCTTTTCGGTCGAGCTAGCCACAGTTGGTTGGCTCAGTGCTCCGGAGGATTTCGCACCTGTTTTTCTCTGTCCAACATCATTATTAACAGCTGAATCACCAAAACTACCATTGGAGATGTCTTTCACCTGAAAGGATATTTATCAATAAACAGAAGATAAAGAAAAGTTCTGTTTCTTTTCCTAGTTTGTTATCATCATTGTATTTTAAGCCCAACTAAATAAGTTCTAATTTTTATTAGAGCAGTAGGGCTGTGCTTGATTGCAATGCACAATATTGCAACAGTAACCCATCCCCCACAACCGCAGTAAAGAGAACCAAAGAAAATTCCGGAAGACCACATGTAAGCAGGAAGAGATGACAAAAGAGAGGAGCATAGCACAACAATCAGAAAAAAATCCATCTATATTACCACTCGAGAGTTGGTGTTTCCCTTGCTGCACTCTTCTTGTTTGTGGAGACGATCTTTGTCATTGTTTACGGTGCTAGAGCTAAATGGTATTGCAGCAGAGCAGGTTAACTCCTTGACATTGCCATTAAGTAGTGCATTAGAGTCTTCGCATCTTGTCTCCACCTTGTTTTCAAGTCTATGAATTCCATTGGAGACTGGAGCAGTTGGATTAGCTTTAAGCAAGCATGGTCTACCCCTTGTGTCTACAACAGATGACTCGTTTGCTCTTTCACCTGTTTCTTGCACTTTCGACTTTTCTTGCTGTACAGCCCCTCCTAGAGAAGAGGATCCATTAGTTACTACACCATTAACCTTTGGGGGTGCCAGACCCTTTGTCGAAGTTTCCTTTGAAACTTCGGAACTTAATGTCTCCCTTTGATCTTTTGCACCAGAAAAGGAATCCACATTCTTCACATGAATTCCATTTTGAACAGTATCCTTAAATCTCTGGCTGTGATTAGAGTATATTTTGTTTCCTATGCCATTAGTAGTCACATTGTCATTGCGGGCAACATCCACAGACTTCTTAGGCACAGGAGATTTCCTATCCCGAACATAGAACAACATGTATGCCTTCTGCTCCAACACCTTTCTCTCACTAACTTGAACCACCTATAAAGTACATAGAAGAGTAGAAATATTCAGAAGCTATTCTTTACGACAGACAAAATACATTACGACAAACCATTTGCTTAAGTTTTTAAAAGACTACAAAAAGAAACATCATGAAGTGCTGAAACATTTGAAAGCCAAAGAGTTGAACTCAAGAGTTACGTGGACAGTTTATTTGGAGATCATACTTTAGTGTCATTGTTGCCTTATGCTAGCTGTAACTGGTAAGGACTATATACTACCATAAAGGGAAGAAGAAACCAAAACTTTAACATGGTTTCACAATGAACTTTCTAGATTAATAAGTGAATACTAAAAGTAATGAACACTGAATGAGTAGTCCCATGCCCTGGAGAAAAGACAGAAAACAAAATGTAAATACCTGATTGTCATCAAGGGAGTACCAATTTCCACTTGAAGTGCGAACAAAGCAATAATAATGACCAGAATGGGTGCTCCAACCTGCATGAACCAGCACACCATACAGAGTGTACTTCGATTCACCACCCTGCAAAATTAGGGGGAACCATGAGTTCCCAAAAATACAAGGAATTCAAGATATAAATGAAATACCAAAAAGTATCGCACATGTGACAAACAGGAGAAAAGGAAGTAAAGCAAGCACCATAAATCACAATTCAGCCTACTCGAATTGCTTCCACTATTTGTTATGTCAGAAAAACGGTTCATCGGTCAAGACTTAAACAACTACCATCCCACAAGAGTATCAGCAATGCTGATGAGAAAACACCTTCTCAACTACTCGACATACAATGCAATGATCCCTTGGCTTTGAAATAATAATTGTGGAAGGTTCATATTCATCCTAAACCAACTTGCCGGAACATTCACATCAATTCATCGTCCCACTTTATATGCTGCTAATTTGCTTATTTGGAGATCAATCAAACCACAAAATATATGAAAAGATCATGTTGACATGACAAATATTAGATCTGAAACAACGAAGGTAAAGGTGTTCCTGACTGCATGGAAAAACTAACACTTACATAGGTATCAGATACAAAATGCTTCAAGTCTAAAGTAGGCCCATAGTGAATCTTTTTATCGATCTTTTGCCCAGGGACATGTGAACCAAATCGCTTCAAGTGGATGGTTAGGACATGAGGTGCCTTGTCAATTGTTAGCCGCTTGGTAGCCTTCACTTTCTGTTTGCACTGCTGACATTGGTACTGCCTCTGACCACCATCTAATAGCTCTCGGGCAGTGAAATGCTGAAGTGCTCTCTGTAGCGAATCTGCCTTTAAAATTTCAAGACTTAAATCCAGAAACGGATCAAACTTGTCGGAGCAAAAGTTACACTGCATGCACTGCACCTGCAGATCATTCGGAAAGATACAATTGGAAAAGGAGTCGAAAAACTGTTGGAAGAGAAATCAAGGAAATATCCACACATACAGCACCAAAAGGCTTCTTTTTTGTTGGGACAACCGGACAAATCACAGGAAGTAAAAAAATTTCTGCACTCTTCCCAAAAGTTACTAGGTCTAGCATACTAACAGAAGAGCAACCGAAGGTGTACCTGACTGCGAAGGCGCCCACCAAATATCTTATGGACCAAACTTTTGTCATAAGCACTGGGAGATTCACTTGGCACTCCTGAAGGTAAGCAACATTTATGCATCGACTCAAGCAGATTCACCATGTATTCATGTGCATCCTCCTGTCTAGCATTTCGAAAATTCCGGGATATGCCTAACACATAATTAAGGATTCAACTTTGGTAGTCATATGTCTAAAAGCCTTTAAATGTGGATACAGAAGGAAAAAAGAGGTATATCCTGGTGTGGAATACTGAGTACAAATCTCTAGGATAGAGAAGCAAGATTCCTGTTGCCAGCCTTCTGACGAGAGGAAATCTTTATTGCACTCTTTTTTAATTTCCCGACTAAAAAAAGTGTGAACGGAAAAAGAACAAAAAAGAGTCGAGCCACCAGACTTTGAAAAATATTGGAAACACTTACATGATAATTCAGCAAATACTAACCAAAAGAAAAAGCTTATGAACATGACTGAAATTGCCCTACTCTTCTTGAAAAATAAGAAAAGAATAAAACAAACAAGAAAGAGGTAAAGTAAGCATCGGAAGAAAAAGGGAATGATGATCAGAGGAAGAACAACTTAAAATTGGCAGAGCAAAAGCGAAAGTCAGAACCAAATAATTAATACACTACAGGGAATCGAAAGGATACATCGCAAGTTTGACACAAGATCCTTGGGTGCCAGTATTTTCCCAGTTGCCTGCAAAGCACGACTCACATGTTTTTGGATGGCACATAAAGCACAAAACCCAGCCATACGACCTTCAATAGAACAATAAAACACAAGTTAACAAACATATACGCTGAAGATCCCAGTAAAACTAGATATGTCCAACCCAGCAGAATGACCTTCCATAGAATAATAAAATACGAGCTAAAAAACATATATGCTGAAGAAATTAAGAATTCCAGGAAAAATAGATTTGCAGAAACCGAAGTTTAGATTATCTGAACCAGATCACGTACTCGCTCATATATTCATTTCTATACAAGGCACAAAAAATGCAAAAGCTTATCTGCATAATATTGTAGTTACCACCAGTCCGCTCTTGTTTACAACTATCAATCAATCAATAATCTCACATACCAAGTATCAGAATGAATGACCAGAAAAAGTCCATATCCTTCAAATGAATTTAGACACAGCTATTAGCATGTACATGTTTATGAGTCTGTAATAGCCACTAGGCTTGGCAGTGAATAGTTAAAAGACAGCAGCATGAATTTTACTTATAGTAAGCTGAGGCTCTCTGCATCTCAAAATATACATCAATCAATCATCTGCATGAATGACTGTTCTTGTAGTTACCACTACTCCGTTCTTGTTTTACAACTATCAATTCATCAATCAATCATCTCGCATACGAAGTACCAGAATGAATGACCAGAAGAAGTCCATATCCTTCAAAAGAGTTTAGACACACAGCCCTTAGCATGCACATGTTTATGAGTCTGTTATAGCCAAGGCTTCGCAGTGGATATAGTTAAAAGACAGCAGCACGAATGTTACTTAAAGTAAGCTGACGCTCTCTGCATCTCAAAATATACATCTGCAAGACATTATTCAACAGCTCTGCTCCAACCAAAGCTTAAACTTCTTCCGTGCAGTACACACCATTGAACTTCATCTCTTGCCCAGTTTCAATTAAATTTTACAGTACTGTTTTAAGAGGTAGAGTAAGACATTTTTAACAAACCCGGTTGACTTGTTTTGAGCGCATTTGGTACAAATTAATCTGGTGAAAGAGAAAGCTTCGAGGTATTAAATAAAATAATGACATGTATCCAGTCAAATCCAATTAATTTCAGCAACTGGCCCCAAGATCTAAGAAGAGGTCCCGACAGCACACAAATACATGCAATTTTACCAGCAAACAATCTTCCTGAAAAGATAAGTCAGACACTGGATACAAAGTAATACAGCCTCCTCATCTAAGGAGGTCAGGATGTCTAAGCCCGCTGAAAAACAAACATGCACACACAGTAGAGTGACTCACAGGAATTTTGATGCTTCCCACTTTCCAAGTATGCTGCCAAAGGCTCAGTGTATGTCAGGCACTGTAATACAGAATTGAGGAAGCAGGTATTCCCAAGATTTTGCAAGCCCGCTCCCTGTGACAAAGACAATGGGTCACACAATTAAGCAACATGGAGACTTATAAACAAAATATTGTCTCCAAGTGCAAAGCTGATTCATCAGGTGCATCTTTGGTCAGCAAGATTTTTCAACTCAAAAATTAAATGAGGAAAAGGTAAAGCATAAAATAGTTCATTTGGTTCGGGAAAAGCTCAATATCAAATTCCAAAACCCACTTAAGAGCCACCAGAGAACAAAGAGGAATCTAAACGTTCCTCGCAAACCATCAGCTACCATCTTGGGCTACTTGAGTATTAAAATTACATGATTAAACATCACGTAAATTAGGCCATAGCAGTTTTTGTAAATGTAATAAATGTAGCAATTTGTTCGAGGCCATAATCAAAATGAGAAGTATTTGAAAGGCACGGAGAATCGCTTATTGATATTGCCAACCTTCAATGCAAGTTTTCATCATTGTTTATTGACGCACTTGCTCTGCTAATTGGCTCTTTTGTTCATTGCGAATAATTCAATATTTAATTAGGCCACGATAGTAAGACAAGTACATCCATTAATTTTCAGAGTGAAAAAGAAACTACAAGGAATGTGGGACATCTACACTCAATTCAAGGACATGTAACTGATTCTTTGGGGTTCACAAGGGGAGTTTAATGCAGATTTATGATTGTGAGAATGTACTATCAAAATTGGGTTCAATAACATGTGAAAGGATATTGGGCGTCCAATCCAAAACCTTAAAACAATTGGTGAAGCAGTGTTAGTAATAGCCAATGCTATGTCCCCTATGTACTTCGGAATGTTATGCATAGGAAGGTGATGCCGTAAAGGTATTGAGCCATACTGGATGGAAGGCGTTATAAAGGAGAAAACATCAATAGCTTGTCCAGCCAAGCACATCCAAATTCCATCTCAACCGTCCAAATCTTTTCACATATCCGGCCATCTTCCAGGTAAAAAGGAGCTATTAGACTATATCGCCACCACAATAATGTGCCAAAACGAGGCCAATATAGTCATGTCAAAGTACTTGAAAAACTAGTACTGAAATCAAAATAAGTATAATGAAAAAAAGGACAAAATCCTTCCAAAAACACCAATAATCCAAGCTGTTGACATAACAACCAGATTTTGAACTACCTAAAATGAAGAGAAACGGTCAAATTTGCCCATGTACCATCCATAATTGAGCAACTTTGCCCTCAGTTAGACTTTTGGTCTAATATTACCGAGCCGCTAGTAAAAATGTCTCGTTTTTTGCCCTTGACTTCTATTGGAACCCCACCATGAGGGTAACTTTAAACCATAGCCAGAAATTGAAGGTAAATTTGGACCCTTATTCTCGAAGAATTTGGACATATGGAGTACACCCATTTCACATTGGAGCTCTATTAATGGCGACGAATATTAGGTAAAGGCATGGGTATTAATGGACCAAAAGTGTAACTGAAGGCAAAATCAAGCAACCAGGATAGTACAATGGCAAATTTGGACCTAGGAGTGTGCATTCGAATCGGTTTATCGATAAATCGAATCGATTATTTGTTATCGAAATCGAAATCGAAAAAATCGAAACCTTATTGAAACGATAACGATAAGCATATGTACAAATCGATAATCGATAAGTAATTATCGATAAAGGTCAAAATCGAATCGATAAATCGAATGCACACCCCTAGACTGTAGACACTTGTTAAATGAGTAATTACCTATTTGTGTAGATTAATATAACATACAGAATGTATATATATTCCGCTACTATTTTGAAAGCGGCTTTACAATATTATTTTTCCTAATCTATACCATTTCCTTTACCCTAAGTCCCTTACCCTATTATTTCCTCTACCACATTTAAGGAATGATCATATTTAAAGATCAAGGGAATGAAGTTCAAATTAATGGAAAACAGAATTAGCCGTGATGATGTGTTTTGTTTTGTTTTTTTTTTTTTATACCGTTGGAGTGTTGGTGGCATACATTTGATCCCTTACTTTAGTTTTGTTGCATGTGCTTGTTGACAAATTTTTATATTATAAATGGTGTCCGTCTTATTTTAGCTTCTTTTTGTCCATATTAGTTAGGCGCGTTTATAGCGATATACTTTCCGTGGAATCCCGCAAATTTTCTTATTGGTATAGTCGATAACCGAATCGATAAGCCCCCAAAATCGATAAATCAAAATCGAAAAAATCGAAACCTTATTGAAACGATAACGATAAGCATATGTACAAATCGATAATCGATAAGTAATTATCGATAAGGGTCAAAATCGAATCGATAAATCGAATGCACACCCCTATTTTGGACCTTTACCCTAAAAAGAATAAAGAAAATAGTGCAAATTCAGAGGACCACTAATAATGGCAGACATACTCAGAGCTAGTAAAAACCCAAAATGAAAAAAATGAGAAAACAAGAAAAAGAAGGAATGAGGCTTTTAAAGCTAAACATCAAAATTAAATTCAGAATCCCAAAAATTAAGCTTAACAAGACAACAACAAAAGAAAAGCAAAAACGAGTATCAAATATTAACGACAACCCAAATCTCGAAATCCAAGATTTCTATTACTCCCTCATTTCAATTTATGTGATATAGGAAATAGTGTTCCCTTAAACTGACATAGGAAATAGAGTCGCATAAACTGGAACTGAAATATATCCTAATACTATTATAAGCAAATACACACAACCAAATAACACACACAGAGAGTAATGAGAAACTCACAATTCTCATAATCTTTCTGAAGGCAATACCGAAGCTCACTTCTGGATCCAACCCATTACTTTCCATCTGAGCATCACCGACCTTTTTCCCGCCCCCAACAACCAACCCGTTATCTTTACCCGTTTTCTCTGAGTTCGGGTTCAGCGTTTCCAGCTGAAACCCATCATTACTTATAAACCCACTAAACGGCTTTCTCGCCAAATGAAACTCAATCCTCCGATGAAACAACGACGACGCATCCGTTCCCTGATCCGACCCGACAAGCCCAGATAACTGTGTACCCAAATTTTCCTCCATTTGATTCATTGTAGCTGTAGCCTCACCCATTAAACCCCTCTCTTCTCACTTTTCACATAAAAATTAATCAAAATCTAGCCTTTTTACGAGAATATTTTAGCTATTATATATAATCGAATTAGGGTTTTTTTCAGCTAAAATTCACTGAACAAAAGATATGAAAGAGAAGAGGGTTGAGTTTTTCGGCTATGAGAAAGAGAGAAGAGAGGAGCTAAAAAGAAGCTTAAAACCCTACAAGCTGAAACGGATATATATGTCCTATCCTGTTCCGCGTCACACTGGATTTAACGAGTAAAATGCAGGGGGTTTAACGTTTGGCTTATTCGTTTTTGACACGTGTAATAACAAGGGTATTTTTGTCATTATAAGTAAATTTTGTAGTAATTGTGACACGTGGTAAGTAATGATAGGTGAGGGATGTAGGTGTAGGGGATTCCGATTGTAGATGAGTTTTGTGCTTTTTTTGTGGTTTTGTGATGTTGAAGAAGTCAAGTAGTGGTAGAAATTGAACGTAGGGAAAAACGGACCCCTAGGGAATTTTTAATGTTAAAAATTAAAAACACTACCGACTAGTATTTTATCTTTACCTATAAGATTTTAGATTTTAAACTTGATATGGTTAAAGTAGGAGATAATAAAGGAATATAGTTAAAGGATATTTTTTAGTACTTCGACGTACTTTTAGCTTTTGCATAATAATAAGAATTATTATCATCCGACTAAAAGGGATAATATATAATTATCCCATTAGAGTTTTACCTTTTTACCAGTTGTATTCTCATACTCTGCGGGAGTCCTATTACTACATGTATTTGTTAAAAGTCTAATATACTATCATCTTTTGAGCTGACGTGGCACTTGCTTTAATTTGCACTTGATAAACCGCGTGTGGAAGCTCTAAAAAAATTATTTTTTTCATTTTTTTCTCTTTCTTCTTTTTTCCTTAAAAGAAATTATTTTTTAAGTATTTATTATAGCATAAAATATGATCAAATTGAGGGATTGAGCATTTTCGGCCGTGAGAAAGAGAGGAGAGGAGCTAAAGGAAGCTTAAAACTTTACAAGCTAAAACACATATATATTACTCTATATACTATGTGTTTTCGTTGTTCTGTATCGCAGTGTATATTTATTGTTTTTGTTAACGAGTAAATGTATAAGGTTTTAGCACAAATTTGTCCTCATCATTTACATGTGCATGTAGTTAATTAAGTGACCCTTTTAAGTCTTCAATGGGAAAAAAATATTCAATTAGGTGAATAACCCTTTTATGACATTAAACAATTAAAAAATATATCAAATTATTTTCTGCTACTATTTCGAATTAAAATTGATTGGTAGTTGTTAATTAACCTCCTTTCTTGGTCATTTGTATCCTATTATTGATAATCGACCATCTTTGGATTATAAACCGTCTTCAAGGTCGGTTATCGACCTACAACCAATAAATTGACCTCCTCTCTAGTTGATCATCAACATATTGTTCATATTCAACCTCTTTTCTTGGTCATTTATCAACTCATAGTCGCTAATCAACCTTCTTCTTAGTAATTATCAAACTTTTCTTGGTGAAAAAAATCATCTGTGTCCTTCTTAGTTGATTGAGGTTATTCCCTTAATTTCAAATTTACGGGGAAAAAAATAAAAGGTCTTTTAATAAAATCACGACTTATACATAGGCATACGGAGGAATATAAAAGTTCCAATAGTGCCAAAACTAGTAAAACCTTCTTTTTATTTTTGTTTACAGTACGCACACATATTGTTTGATGAAATGCTTAGTGGAAGGATCAACCTCTTATGTTAATTTTAATTTTGTAAATCAGTGAGAAGTGAAGTTCCAAATTGTGTGCTGTGGTCCTTAATTGATTTATAAGGTAGAGAAAATAATTGATGTAAAGAAAAGATGTAATCTTTGCTGGTGGCAGTGATTCTTGATAGTAAAATATAGTCTTTTTTTTTTTTTGGGTTTTCCACCCGGTGTCCGGTACTCGCATTGGAGCCCGACTATATCCGGATTCGCGCCGCGTAGGGCCCCATTCGGGGGGGAGCGCTCCCTACCAAGAATTTTTCCATACCCAAGGCTCGAACCCGAGATCTCTGGTTAAAGGAAGAGCAGTCCCATCCACTTCACCACATCCTTTGGTGGTGTAAAATGTAGTCCTGAATGAATATGCGTGTATTCTTTAGGAAACATTAGCATGTTCTGAACGTGGAGCACATTTCATGTACTTAGAATTTACAAGCATTATCTAGCTTGTGCAATGGTTTAATTTGCAGGGAAGTGACGAGTTTAGAAAGAATTAACCTCCATGTTTTATTTAAAATTCTACTAAGATAATGCTGCTGAATTTTCATTTGCTAGCCATAATAAGTGATTTGAAATTTGTACAATTTGGTTGAGCTTGATTTGTTCTCATTTTTGTTTCCTTCTTTTTATGGAGAGTCTATAAGAAGCTTCATGGTTTCAAGTAAGCTAATTATTTTCCGACAATGTCTATGATCAAGTTTGTTTTGAACTGGCATAAAATATCTTGATAGCAATTACATGTTAAAATGTAAAGAAAGAGCCGAGGGTCTGTCGGAAACAACCTCTCTACCCCCTCGGGGTAGAGGTAAGGCTGCGTACACACTACCCTCCCAGACTCCACTTTTGAGATTTTACTTGATCGTTATTGTTGTTGTTAAAATTTAAAGAAAAAGAAAATGGATATTATCACGAGTCTGCTAAGGGGAATCTGTTATGAGATTGACTCAATAAGGCCTACGAAAACTAGTTCGATTGTGTGATGACCCGATAGGTCATCTAGAGTTTCAAATTCAAATTTTAATTCTGTGTTTCGAAACCTCAAATAACTTCTTTTAGCCTTCCTCAATTTGCATGTGCACTTCGCGCCTTTTTTCAGAAAGCTTTTATGTGAAAAATTGATTAAAATGTGAATTCGTCCCTTAAAAATCTATTTGAATTGACTTCGGTCAGTGTTTTGAGCAAACGAATTCGGATCCGTATTTTGACAGTTTCGGTGGGTCCGCATCGTGATTTGGGACTCGGGCGCATGCCCGGAATCCAATTCGGAGGTCCCTAGCTCGAGTTATCACAATTTATTAAAAATTTGAAGTTTAAAGATTTAAAGAATTCATAAATTTGATCGATGTTTGACTTTGTTGATACCGGGTATGTATTTTGGTTTCAGAACTTAGTATAGGTCCATTACTATATTTATGAGTTGTCTGTAAAATTTGGTGCAAAATGGAAGTGATTTGACGTTCGGGCGTCCGGTTGTTAACATAGAAATTCTTAAGTTTCATTAAAAATTTCATTTGATTTGGTATCCGATTCGTAGTTCTAGGTGTTATTTAGGTCTTTTTATTGCGTGAACGAGTTCGTATGAGGTTTGTAGACTTGTGTGTATATATGGTTTAGAGCCCCGAGGGCTCAGGTGAATTTCGGATAGCCTACGGATCATTTAAACTTAGAAAATTTCTGGTTTCTTGAGCTTCTATTGTATCTGGTGTCATGTGCTTCGCGATCGCGAAGCCTTTCTCGCGATCAATATGGGGATTTTGGTACATGGTAGGATTTTCTTCTTTGCGAACACGATAGTTGGGTCGTGAACGCGGAGTGTTGGTTTTTTTTTACCCTTCGCGAACGCGACCAGCTTCTCGCGAACGCGTAGGGGCATGGGCCTGGGAGGGGGAACTGACCATTACTCTTCGCGAATGAGGCACTAGGACCGCGAACGCGGGAGCAGGTGGGTGCAAGTCTTCACGAAAGCGAAGGGTAACTAGCGAATAGGCCAATGAGCTGTTGTGTTTCGCGATCGCATCAGGCCCTTCGCGAACGCGAAGAAGGCCTGACGCCCAGTGATTTAAATGTTTCAAAAATGAGATTTCTCCCATTTTTCATAAACTCTCTATTAGAGCTCGGCCTAGAGGCGATTTTTATAGGAAAAACTCAACACCAATTCATAGGTTTGTATACTTTAACTCATTTTATTCCATTTCTAGCATCACCCATTAATTCTAGCCCTAATATTTGTTCTTCCATGGTAGAAAACTAAGGATTTAGGGAATTGATAGGGGGGTTGCAAATTCGGGATTTAGACCTCAATTTGAGGTCGAATTTCAAACTAATTACCTAATCGGGCTCGGGGGTGAATGGGTAAATGAATTTGGTTTGAACCTCGGGTTTAGACCAAGCAAGGCCCGGGGTTGACTTTTTTGACTTTTTGGGAAAGGTGTAAAAATCCTATCTTTATGTATTGTAATTGATTTCCTTAGCATTATTTGATGTTATCAAGTCGATTGTGGTTAGATACGAGTGGTTTGGAGACGGATTCTAGAGAAAAGGCCCCGGTACAACTCTGAGTTGACTGCGAATTGAGGTAAGTGTCGTGGTTAAACTTAACTTGAAGGATTAGGATTATTTGCCTATTTGCTATGTGTTTAAATGTTTGGGGTACAACGTATATGTGAGGTGACGAGTACTTATGCATTGTTGTTGGGTTAAAGCATGCCGGCGAGACTTGTTTCTTGTAATTTATATCCTTCTTTAATTATGATATATATGCTTAGACTAGTTTATTACTTAATTGATCGTTCATTTCCGCATTCTATTTGTGATAATTGAGTATTTTTGGAAGTTGAGGTTTGGTATTGTGGAACCGTTGTTGTCGTAAGGTTTATTCTTATTCTATCTCCCAAATGTCATGTATTCATCGTTACATGGTAAGGGAGAGTGTTAAAGCACGAAGGGTGATGTCGTGCCGATTATTGTTTCATTATTGAGTAATACATAGTGAGGAAGAGAGTTAAAGCACGAAGGGTGATGTCGTGCCGTATTTATTGTTTCATGATGAAATTGAAAGTAAAAGCACGAAGGGTGATGACTGATAACTAGGGATTCTAGCCTATCTTATGCTCCTTTTTGCTTAAGTTTTGGATAAAAAATGTGTAAAAGTATTCCCGCAATGAATCTTAGATTTTTCTTTTGTAATTACTTTTATGGCTTATATTTCAGCTCCATCTTTGATTTTTACCTTGATTATGAATAGATAAACCCATTAGCTAGGGTTGTGACCCAACCTAGTGTGGGCATTTAATGGGTCTTCAATTTTAGGGCTTAATTATTTATGGATTAATGATATTTAGCTTGAATCATGCTTTAATTGTTGAATTGGTGGTTGCAAACACTGATTCGTGCCTATATGACTTAGACTCTTCTTGAGAAA